TGTATATTATGTGTGCATTGCAAGTGCATGTATTACATAGATACAAACATGCACATATAAGAATAAACATTTAATGTTACATATAGAATTGTAATGTGTTTAAAATGTGTTTAAATCCTGACACATTGGTACTTGCAGACAAGGCATTTATCATGCGATCAATCTCCTTGAAACAGAGAGTCCAGCTGATGACATCTCTCATTTGTTTCCCCATCACTTCTTCCAGCTTTTTTCCCCTCTTAACATACAGCAAAACTGTGTGAAGGAGGAAAAGATGGACTAGTGCTCAATCTCCTTTTAATATGCATTCATAATTTTTGATTTTTACAATCTTTCAACAATACCAAACATCAGCGCAACACAGCTGAGAATGCAAAACAAGAGCAAAAACTCAAACACTTATACAGAAAAGAGGGGAAAAATAAACCATACAGTCATGAGCAGAGATACAGCAAACTGACCTTGAAAGTATTACGAATGTATATACCTGCATACACACACATATTTAAGGTTTGTGTTCCACATCGCTAATACAGGTTGAGCAATTGTCAGAAGTTGCTGTTGATATTATATTCTCTGATAGGATGCTAACGTTGTGAGGTCTTCAGTCCTCAAGTAGTTCTTGATCTGTGAATACCCTTTCATCTATTATGTAAGGAATACATGCTGCCGCTAGGTGGTGCTTGACCCTTTTAAGGCCTTCCCCGCATCTGTATCTTGTCATGACTACTACTGTTGACAGCAGTGGTGGAGGATCAGGGAGGGTGGATAAGCAGCTCTATAAGCACTCAGGGTTGGTGTTGATTCACACATTACAGATGGCTGATGAGTTCTCTTCTCTTTTAAAAAGACGCAACAACGGAAACAAAGTCTTTGGTAGGAATAAGAGTCTCCAGGAGGAGCTGCTTGCGACCTGCTCTGGACAATTCCATCACACCATTGATTAATTCACGACTGGAGAGGAAAGAACTATCAGGAATGGTGAACATTGGGAGGAATCTGCTCTTCCTGACTCCAATCCTGCCCATTATGCTTCTTCTGCTCTAAAGCTACTATTTGGGCCATTGCAGGCACCACTGAAGGAGAAGTTGCTCCTCAGAGTTAATTATCTCTGGTATAGATTGCATTCAAATATTGGCATTTCTCAATATGGAAAAGTTACTCTCATGAAAATAGCTGCTCACTTTGGTTCAAGAGGGGACTTCTTTCTCTTAGCTAAGATAGTTTATTTTTCATGAAGGCATGAACTGGAAAGATAGAACTGTTGATCTGAAGTTAATTGAGAGTGTCAGAATAATATTCTGAACTTGTGCAGACCACAGGCCTGTTGAGTAAGATCAAAGAGCCTAGTTAGCTCTTTCTGGCTGCAAGTACAAAAAAGGTTGAGCATCAGGAAAAATACTATTAGCTATGGGGAGCTGATTCTTTAATTTGTGCAAATAAGAATTGCCTGTAGCACAGCTCCCTGTAACTGTGCCTTCAACCAAGATCTGAAATACAGTCATTGGCATTGTGGTTCCCAAGATGTTGCTGGAGTACAACACCCATCATACATGTTAATGGATGGATGCAGCTAAGGATAATGGAATTTTGAGTCCAACAACATCTAGGGACCCAAGATTGGGAGCCAGTGCATTGTCAAGACTTAGTGATTGCCATGCTGTGATAAGCTTTTCCTGCAGATAACAACAGCTGGGGCTGTACAAATCAGCAGATTTTTTTATTTATAACATTTCTGTAGTACCCAATAGCTCAAGGTTTCTGGGTTGTTCACAACAATTAGAACCATATAGTAAAATATGATACAATATAAACTTTTAGGAATTTCAATCTACAGTATAAAGTAAAACCTACCAGCAATCCAATGTAAACTAGGCAGCTCCTGAAAGCTGCTAAAGTCCATGAAAAGAATTCCCCCTTGCTACCTGCATCATGACATGGTTGAAAACTTTTCAAGGCACAAAGAAAAGAACAAACACCTCATGAAGTGCTCCTTCTGGACTTGTACATGGGCTGGTCAGTGGCAGAAGCAAGTCCAGACCACTCAGTGCAATGAGCAGGTGGACATGTAAACACAGTAGGTCTAACTTACCACATGTTTAATTAAGTGGAGTAATGTCCACCTTACTACCTCAGGGCCCCTCTCCCAATAGTTAACAATTAAGACCATTAATTCTAGAGTCTAAAATTAGTGGAGTGGTGGAAAGATTTGCTACCACATTTTCTTTCTTGGGAATTCTCAGAAGTGATATGTCTAACAGAAATGAAATTGGTGTGCCTGGCTTTTACTGCCATGGATGTATCTTGATAGGAGAAGCAACATCTCCTGAATTTCTACCTGATCCCCAACTGGGCACAGGGAGGATGTTAGGAGGAAAAGAGCTGGTGATTCCCCCCACTTAAAATCATAAGGCTTTAGTATAAGATTGATGATAGAATACATGACTCCTTCCTCTGGTTTCTGTGTCTTTTAAGATTCAGACAACTTCTTAGCCTATGAAGTTGATTAAAGTTTGATAATCAGTTTTATTGGAAGGTCTAATATGGTTGTATACCCAGATATTTGGATAACTATCTATTATATATAAACAAGGCTCTACATGGGAGGCATAGGCAGAGTGACCGTATGTCCTACTTTGAAGTCTTTGGCTTGGTCAATCAAGGAGAGCCCTTTCTTTGAAGGCATCCTGCATTTGGATGGATGTATGGACCAAATGCAGTATAAAGACAAGCACAAGAAGAGAGAAAGCAGGGGCCCTTAAGTGACCCATCAATAGTGAATAGATGGGCAGTCTTCTGAACAATGGCATTTCTATTGTGCTTTTCCATTTTTGCTCTCTGCTGGCTTTTATCTTCATCATACTTTAGGTTTATTCTGTTTGAACCTTGTGGTTTTTATGGTTTTAAGCTTTAAGCAGTTTAAGCTTGTAAACTGCTCAGAAACTTTGCCAAATGGGCAGGATAGACATGTAATAAAGACAATATTGACTTCCAGTCATTATTTTAAAATGTGCTTCTATCTATAGAAATCAGTTCTAGCACATTTTAGTGGCCACAATCCTATGTGAGTTGATAAAACAAGCAAGGATGGCTTTTTCCTGCTGTAAAGTTTCAGAGGACTGCACTTCTTTTTTGTCCCTTTTGGGTGATGTGTGAATGGCCACCCTTGTAATGTTCTGAAAATGTAGTAATCTGATTGTGTATTTGTTCCTTAAGTGTAGAGCCCACCTGATCCAAAAGGCTGCAAGTGAATGATCAATGCTTGGAAAAGCCAATAGATGGGATCCAGTTAAAAGAACTGTCTCTATCAGTTCATGGGAGGATTTACAGAAACAGGAAGACTGTAGGAAAGAAGCTCTCAGTCACCCAAGGTACAAAACAGGCCTATTTCTATGGAGTAATTTCCTTTTTGGTGCAGGTGTGGTTTTTGATCTACACCCATCTAGGCAGCAAAGGGCATGGCACCTCACTTCAAAGAAGAATCCTATATTCCGGATTGCAGCTGGCAGTGGATTGAGGTTTGTGGGGCCCCAGCCCCACTCTGAGTGAACCCTAATGGGCTTTTCTAGTGGTGGTGACTACACCCTGAGCTACCCCTGATGGCCGAGTTTATCCACCATTTCAATTTCCCACAGTGTTCCCAGCATGACCTTGCACTGGAGGCAATACATGAAAACTCCAGTCACCAAGTGCATCATGGAAAGCCAATATTCTTTCATGTACTTACACAGAGTACCCAGACACCTTAAACACAGTTCCAAAACTGCCCTGGGCATGGGTGGTGGAAAGCACATTACTCTTCCTAGGCTGCTGGGAAATGTCTAAGAGACACTGAAGGTCACATCAAAACATGCACCCATCATTATACAAATCTGCTCCGGCACACTGAGGGTGTTGGGGGAGGCCCTGCTCCACGGCCCTTCCCCCAGGAGGAATGCCAGCTAGAGAGAGGTGGAACAGGGCCTTCTTGCCAGTGGTGCCCAGACTGTCAAATACTTTGGCCCTGAGTTCTGGCCAATTGCTATGTTGGAGTAGCAATTTAAGGATACAATCCTATATCCACTTACTTGGGAGTAAACATCATTGATGTCAGTAGAACTTACTTAAGAGTAGAAAGGTTTAGTAAGACTCTGTTCAAATGTACACTTAATAAAAATGCCCTCTGGTTTGTTTGCTGTTACATATTGTGCCAGATGTCATTGAACTTTTATCAATTATTTCACTGTTTTTTATTCTTAGGTGATACTGCTAGCTGTGGGCCATGCTGAACAGCCTATTTCCATTTTTAAATTCTTTTATTGTAAATTATCTCTTTTCATACCTTTTCAGGGCAATTCTAGGCTTTTCCCGGATGGAGTTTGAAATGCTTCAAAAACAAATCCTTCCAAAACATAGATTTGCTTATTAACGACCACGGTGAGATACCATGTTAGCTCTAGAATGCGTTTAAGGCTGAGCGGTGCTGGGAGTTGTGCAATATTATTTCCTGTTTAAACCTGCACAGGATCGCACCCTTGGGGAAGAATGCGTGCATAAGAACCTCGACTGGGTTCAAAATCTTCTTTTGCTGGAGCTTTCGGGCCAAGTAAAGCCGAAGAGGCCCTATCAGCGCTCTCTCCTCCCAACTCGGGAGAAAGATAGCCTCAACTCATAAATAGCCCTGTTGCAAACCTGTACGCCGCCCCAGGGCGGCCGGCGCTGCATGCTGATCACTCGCAGAAAAGCTCCTGGGGCAAGAAAACGCTGTCCCGCGAACAATCCCAAACGATCTGGTCTGCTGTCTCTTGCACCCCACACACCTCACAGCTCCGAAGCTTCCCACCCGCAAGCCAAGCCCAGATCTTCCGAGCCCGACCTGGCTAGTTAAAGATCGGAGAGTCCCGCAAGGCAGGACGACGAAGGGAAAACTCACCCAGCCTCACTCCTTCGCGGTCGGCTCTCCTTTTGGTTTCCCTTTAAATGAAAGCCCCGCCCCTGCAATTGACACAGTCCGCCCCGGCTGCCAATGGTGGCTGCGCCTTGTTTGTGGCAAGTTGCACGGAGGGAGAAAGCGGAGCGAACAGAGGCGCAGTGTGCGCGGGGGAGCCCGCCAGAGGGAGGGTGGGAGAAGGGAGGGATGGGGCGAGAGGAGGGCGGCCGCGATGCCCGCAAGGAGCTGCCGGCAGCGTGGAGGAGAGCGAGGGAGCTGGCCCGGTAGAGGATTCTGCTCATGAGCGCAGCGCGCCCGGGCCTCGGCTGGGAGAGCTCTCCCGGCTCTTTAAACTCTGCCTGCATCAAGTGCCTTTTGCCTGCCCCTTGCAGAACCCGAGCTCAGCCCGCCCGCAGCTCCCCTTCCCACTTTGGCTTCCGCAGCAAATGCAGCCAAAGGCCGAGCGGTGCTCCTTAAAAAAAGAAAAGGAAAGAAAAAGTACGTGAGTGAGCGAGGAGAGGGGTGGGGAGAAAGTGGGTGGGTATTACAAACGTATGCAGGCTGTTGTAGGAATGAGAGGAGCGGAGCAAGATCGAATCGCTCTGGAGAGCTGCCCTTTGAGGCTCGAAGTTGAGTGGATCGGGAGTTCCTGAACGCCAGCTCTGCTGAGCGCTTCAAGTGTGGCGGCAGCAGCTGTAGATGTGTGCGTGCTGAACTCTGTCCTGCCCCGCTGGATTTGTACCATGCTCAAGGTTCTTACGAAGAAGCTCAGAAATCAGAGTTTGAATGAGATCCAGCCCTTCCAGTTAAAGGTAAGAAGAAATCCAGTATCATTAGCATTAATAATAGATATGCATATGCATTGCTTCCTCACAGCAGTACTAATTACAGGAGCCATTCAGGTTGGTACTGGCGGAATTATGCTCCTGTTGCATCCTCCCGTTCAACTCATGACCTAAGAGTTAGAGCAGGTCTGCATACAGTTGAGTAAGGCCCGTTCCTTTGAGCACCAGCTTCCTTGCTAATTCAGAAAGCCATGTGTTGAGGGCCTAGCCCTTTTTGGAGAGCTTGAACCCTGTTAATGCAACCTTATTACAATGTGCGTGTCTCTGTGTGCATATGCATATAAAGAAATATTTTTGGAAGGGAAATACTTTGACGTTGAGATGGCTGTTTCCAAAGGATGTTTATGGGTGCAGTTCTTTAAAATGTTTAAATCTGCAAGAAGTTGGAGGATCTACTTGTGCAAAGTCCTGTTTAAATCTGGCTGTTCTGTAGCATAGTCACGGTTGGGGAATAAGCATGCCCCTTGCTCTTAAACCCAGTGGGAATTTTTTCTAACTAGTACATGATTGTGTTGCATGGCTACAGTCTTATACTGGCTTTGGTGTAAGCCCTACTGAAATCTGCAGGGCTGGCTTCAGATTAAATGTGAACAGATCAGGCTGTTCTTATTTTGGCTGTTCTCTTTGCTGCATGTGGAAGATACATGGGGATCTAAGGTTGGCCAGCAGCTGTCTGGATCTTGTTACTTTAACTTCTTAAACAAAGACCAAGGGACTTTTCTGCTGTGAAGTCAGTATTTTCCTGCCCCTTCTTCTGTAATGAAACTAAAGAATGAATGTCCTGTGAACTTGAAATAACTTTCTGAAATCAAGGAAGGGGTTCACATGTATTCTCTGAAAGCAGTATCTTAGAAAGGCTTGACAGTTCCCTGAGCAATGGATATCCCATCTGAGACTGTGGAACTGTGTCTTGCACATGTGATTCTAAGATTGGTTTGCACCAACAATGGTAAGCCAGACTTAGTTTTAGTGCCATGGGTTCCACTAAAGTTACCATTGTTTCTTGGAAAAGAGAATGCAAGAGAGCCTCATGCAAGATGGAGAAAACAGATCTTGCAACCTTATAGTTAAAGCTTTGAGTTTCTTTTTTGTTCAAATTGGGAGTGATTGAGGATGGGGGATACATACAACAGGCCTCTGGTTTTTAGTATTAATTGCCTAATAATACTTGAATTGGAAGTTCGGAAGTATTTTCTGCACATTAGGTCACATTTTGCAAAGCATGCTTTTTGGGGGTTAAAGTAAAAGTTTAAGGAGGTGGAAATTATGATGGTGCCCACTTGGTAAAGGAAATACCAACAGGATACCAGTACCAACTAAAATATGCATTTGCACAAGCAAAAAAAGATGGCTTGTATTCAAGCTTCTCTGTTTGCAGCTGTGAAATAGTTTTGCTCATTTATAGGCTTGCAGTTTTCTTCACTTATATCAAAGTTTGCAGATTAATTCACTTGATAAGTATGCTTTTGAGAGTGTTATGTACAAGACCAGAAAGAAGAGCAGTTTCCCACTGGTATTTCTACAGAGCCTGTTCTGTGGAAGTTACAGTGATAATCTTGAGTGCCCCAGAAGTATAAATCATATACAAAAAAGGCAGTCTTCATAGTTATGCTACTTCTCAGCATCACACCAAGGAGGAGAGACCAAACTGGGATAATGCAAGTTCATTTGAATACCAAAACCTCTGGAGGGCCACAGGTTGTCTAGTCCTGGTGGACCATACCACAGGTCTGTCTAGTCCAGCACTGTTTGCACGCTGGCCCCATGGGACCACCATGAGAGGGTGGTGTTTCACTCAACCTGTTTGTGTTCTCCAGCTCCTGGCATTCAGAGATACATTGCCTCTGGAACTGGAACTCGTATGTAGCCATCATGACTAGTAGCCTGTGGCAGCCTTATCTTCCATGAGTTGGTTTAATCTCCATTTAGACAAAAGCCATCACTGTATCTTGTGGGAGCAAATTCCCCTGTTTCACTATGCACTGTGTAAAATTGTTCCTGTCTTGAGTCTCCCCTGGTCAGCTTCATGGGATGACTTGCAGGTTCTAGCATTATGAAGGAAAGAGGAAATACTTCTTCCAGTCTATTTTCTCCCCAGCATGCATAATTATGTATACCTCTCTCATGTCTCCTCTAAGTTGCCCTTTTTACTGAAGCTGAACAGCTCCACTCTTTCCCATAGGGGAGCTGTATGAACCTGTTGATCATTTTGGTTGGTCTTTTGTGCAACTTGCTCTCTCCAGGCTCTAGTGCTATTGAACCTGCCGTCTTAGTGAATACATCTCTGTACCCCAGTTGCTGGGGTGCATGGGCAAGAGGGTACTATTGCCCTCATGCACTAATGGTATTTTTCCCACAGGGAGCTCTTGGTTGGGGCGTGACCAGAATGCTGGATGAGATTTACGTTTGGCCTGATCCAGCATGACTCTTCTTAAATTCTTATGAATTTGGACAGTATGAGGTTTTAGAATGTCGGTGCATTCTAATTTCAACCATACTGGTAGATTCCAAAGTCATGTGTGCATATGCTGGGTGGGGGTGGCTGTGGATATGTGTAAACTGACAGAGTCTGTTATGCATGAGGATAGATGAAATTATTGGTGTTGCTCTCTTCTGTCTGTTTTAAATATAGCAGGGCAAACAAATCTCATTGGTGGGGATGAGATTCCCAGGAAGGCTCACAGCTCTGGTCCTGGATATATTCAAGATGTAAGCGGCAAAAAAGCAATAGTTATTAAGAGCATGTGTTGTGGCTGACTTTCTATAAATCAATCAAAGAGGGGGAGAGGTGCCTTTACAGAACAATTGTGTGTAGTCTGAAACATGGGGGAGAGACTGTCATTGTCTTCCATGACTGGCACCCCTGAATATATGCTTTCATTCTCATAACCACTATATATTTCCTTGAGTCTCTTCAAAAACTGTGTTATTTTCTAGGCACTTTCCTTGTCCTGGAGCAGGGAGTTCCATGGGTAGTTCTCCCCTCATTCATGTTCAAAAATTGTACATGTTGTTTGGATGATTTCTTTCACCAGATAAACTGTTATCTAACAAATACCCAAACTGTGAAATACAAGGCAGAGAATCTCTCCAGTTTAAATTGGTACTGGCAAACAGACTTGCCTGGTTGGTTTAGGGAAACTACGTGGTCTCAGTCACAGCCCCCCATCTACACAAGATGTATGGTGCTCCTAGAGAAGTGTATTTGTGTGTGTTGCTCTGCTCATTCCAGTGTTATGTATGCATTGTGTTAAGTGCATTGTTACATTGTACACTGTCACTTAACAATCAATGGCGCCAATCCTTCCATTGGCTCTATGCCTCCATGTTGCTATACTGATCTGCACATCTACCAGCTTTATATTCTAATTGGATTTCTACACTAGGGAGGAGCAGGAAGATGTGTCTTGTCTGTTACTTCACTGAGCCAGGAGACAGACTGCCCAGCCAACATCTTTCCACATCCTTTTTTCTTCCTGATGTGTGTAAAATGGAAGAACATTCCTGTATGGTTGCACTGAATGTTGTGATAGTTACGCTGCTCACTTCTTGAACTCTGCCCTGATGACCATGCTTTCAACTCTTCCAGCTTCCCCTTAGTTGCAGAACAAGAGTGATAGTAGTTGGTTGTTGTCTTGTGTCTAGTGCAACTGGAGCACTGGTGTTTTGTTTTTTTTCCAGAGGTTGCGTCTGTATCCAGCATTGCTAGCAATCCCCTGGCAAATGTGGCAAATCCACTCAGACCACATGGGAGTGGCTGTATGATGTGCTCACGGTTGGGTGGCCACTTCAGCATAACAGCCCCCCAAAAGACCCAAGAGGTCACAGACTTACATAAGATTTACAAATGCTAATTTATACATAGCTATGAAAATTTAGGAATAATTAGTCCAGTTTCAATGGAAACATAGTACATTGCCCAGTTGTGACTTATCTACCTGTCAGTCTTCCATCCCCATGCTAAATTGTTGAAAAGTAACTTCATCCACCCTTGATTGTTGAATGGAACTTGGACTGGCAGCCCTTCAAATAGAAGATTGTCCAGTACAAAATAAGATACATGGCATTCTACCATACACTTCTCCATTAAACCTGAGGAGTGGCAAACAGGCAATTGTGCTTTAGCTGAATTGATGTTTTGCAATATTTATTTATGCTGTGGATTTCAATATATGCCAAGCAGTTAGCAGTTTTAAGCATGAACAAACAAGGGATGAACCCAATGTCTACCCACTACTCGTTATGAAGTAAGAGTGCCTTATCTGCCACTGATGGAATTGTCATCTGTGTCAAATTTCAGTCTACCATTTCTGTTGCTGTGTATCCATTGAATGGGATCTGTCCTCCCTTTTGTACCAGTCAGCTTTCTTCACCCTTTCATTCTCTGGCAGGCCTGTCTTCAGTGTTGTCTTCAAATGTCTGTAACATCATGCTTCACTAATTGTTACACATATTTGCCTGGGGCATAGAAATTAGCTAAGAGTTCTTGTGACAACGGTTGAGAATCCTGACCTAGACACAGTGTATTTTCGGTGCCACTTTGGTTTAGTCCTGACTCCAGCTTTCTGAGAGGCCTTGAGCAAGATACTCTTGATGAACTCCTCCTTCAGTGGGTCCACCTTCTCATTGACATTCTTACCAGCTCCTTTTGCTCCCTGTCCTCTTTCTCCCCATTACCACTGCTTCCTTCTGGATAGACAGAGGCCAGAGAGCAAGTAAAAAGCAGGCACCCACTGCTCCTCTGTTTCACCACTACTGTTCTCTGGGGCAGAAGGAGAGGCAGGATGCAGTGATTGATGAGAAGATGCGAGTACAGGGGCCTTTTGTCCTTGGCAAGTGCCCAGCCATGCCTACCCTTGACACTAGATCTGCTGTAAGATCCCAGGTGCCTTGGCCCACCTGGGCACAGGGGACAGTTTCAAGGATTAGTTAATTTCTATACCACTCAATAGCTAAAGTTCTCTGGG